ACTGAATACGAGTGTCCAGGATGCCGTAAGCAGCGAACTCTGCCTCCACGTACCGCGCCGCTAACCCTGTCATGTCGTAGTTCAACCTCGGATGGAAGCTGTCCTTGGTCGAGAAGGGCTACGCGCCAACAACACTCCTATCGACCTACTCCGAAGAGCGCCTGCCCGTCATCAAGCGTATGATCGACGAGACGAAGGCCATGTACAAAATCGTCATGAACGGCCCGCGCGATAAGCCTCGCGGTGCGGGCGAACAAGACGCTGCCTGGCGTGGTCGGCAGGATCAGCTCAAGCAGCTCGGGATCAACTATCGCTGGAGCTCGATCCTTGTCGACGAGATCCACGCCGTGGACGCGGAGGAGGCGAAGAGGGAGACCGTCGACGCGTATGGAGCCCTCGGCGGCGACGGCCTTCACGCAGGTGACAGGGCCCCCGACGCCCCTGCGCTGGTTGACCTCAAGTCCGGCGGTGCTGAACCGACGTCCCTGTTCAATATCTTCGCCCCGACGCATCACACCGTCCTGCTTTCTGCGGCGATGTTCCCGTGACTGAGGCTGTGCTCGAGGTCTCGAAGACGTACCCCTCCGAGCAGGTCCACGTCGTGGTCATCTATCCGAAAGATGCATCGGCTGCGTCTGTGACGGGTGGTGCTGATTTAGTCTTGCAAGACAGCGAAGGACACGCTTATTCGGCGTACGGCATATCGGATGGCGTCTCTGGGTATCATTGTGAGACCTGACGGTGTTGTTGGAGGGATCGTTATCAGGACAGAGGGAGCGAGAACATATTTCAGCAAGGTCTTGTCCACTATCTCGGACTAGGCCTCCACGCAACTCCAAGGTCATTACATCTTTGTACCAGTGTCAATCCGTGGTCTAGTAAGCAGGTTCGGTATCCCGCGAACCGTTATACGAGGGTTGATAAACTATTAGGTACTTTTGCCTCTGCGCGCTGCTATCTACTTCGGAAAGCATCATGGAGAAGTACCTGCTGTGAATATAGCGTGGCCTGAACGTTGCGCCGTCTTCAAGGTGAGCTGCATCTACTTCAGCTTCCTGCTAAACTGCAGCCTGTATATGATACGGCCATACAAATACGTGTCCAGGCCCAGAACAGCTCACCCCAGTCCGCGAGGTACGGTCCGCGGGCGATGACTGAAGTACTGATCACTGAGCTGAATCGAGAGGTCCTTGCCCGCCAGATCACTTCTAGAGTGGTTTGCGCTGCATACTGAGGGTTACTCGAAGAGTTATCTGTAGTCTAGTAGTATACAACTTGAAGCGTACTCCTCCCCTCAACAAGGTCAAACGTAGAGGAATAATAGGAAACAGAAAAAGACCGGGCATGTAGTACTATCATTCACTAAGGCTATCACTGCATGGTACTCAGTGCTCACGTACGGAAGCTTGGATGGTTCTACGTGAGCCTATCTTACTGATCATGCATAATAACATCGGGTCAAGTGGCTCCCAAGGTGGCCTTTGTATCGAGATTCAAAAGCTATGGCGTCCTGCTGAAGCGAACAGTTCAGCGCTCGAGGTTCTCCCGTCGATCAACAACAGCGATAAACGCAGAGGTCGCAACTTCGAGCACAGTGAGTTTCTGAATAAACCGGTCTCCGTTTCACACCCAACTAACCATCGCAGGTGTCTGGATGCGGAGATCAAATGTACTTCGTGCCTGAGGGATAGGCTGCGCGTGGGGTACACGCATAGGGAGTGATAGATGTCGCCGCTGGACATGCGAATGCACGCCACTCCTTTTTGATGATCTGGCAGGATGATATCGAGACCGTGTAGCTCGCAATCATCGAAGCGATATCCTGTGTGATAATACATTGCCTGATCCCATCGAATTCGACAGGCTCGTGTCCTGACTGTGCCCGCGGAAGCGAAGTTGCATCCTTGACTTGTTGCCACGATGGACACCATTGGTACTATCTTGTCCCGGCTCTGGGAAGAGCCATAGGAGTCGCCCCGGAAGCCAGCGTCCATAGCCCGGACGAGGGCCTTCCAGGCTTCTTCCGGGTGTTGTCCCGGAATGTACGGTGGTAAACCCGCGCCATCGTCAAGTACGCAAGCCCAGCGATCTTGTCCAACTCGCTTTCAGCTGAACGATGGCGCATGGCGTCAAGAATGGGGTATAGAGAGTCTCGCTGATCGGCGCAGTTTTGATACAGCCAAGAGACCGTATGCCAGAATTTACGCTCGTCCGGATCGACTATGTCGCTTGTCTGCTCGTTGATGTCGGAGGTCGATCGTACCACTGGAGAGTTTGTGGCAATGCCAGCAACTCTAGACTCTGCTGTGATCTCCTGCAATGTCCACGCTCGGTTGAGCCAATGCCGCGGGCTGTCGAGGTCACCAATGCGGAAAGCACGCCCAAGCCCGCTGTAATAGTGCACGACGAGTTTCGATGCGCTGTATACATCCCCGATCGTAGGGACATCCAACTTCCACTCCTGTAGACGGATAGCCTCATTCTCCTGAGAGCCGTACTGCCGTAGACAGAGCACATCCAACCATACAGTACGCAAGCCCATGTTCAGGAGCTCGATCCGCACACGTTCCAGCGTTGTGTCGACAGAACGGGCACAGGCCACTCTTTGTTGTTGATAGGCGTCTCGATAGACTGGCGACGAGAGTTGTCCATCCAACTGTGGGAGATCGCACCATCCAAACGCGATACTGCCCAGTAAGGGATGACGCGATTGCCACATAGGTCCCACACACGGCGTGGAATTGTGAAAGGCTTGACAATCATGTTCGTTTCGGGATCAAACATATTGGACCGTTGAGTTTGGTCATCTTCTGCCCTTGAGGCTAACAGCCGAAGGCCAACCACAGGATTCGGATTCCACTCTGAACGAAGCAGAGCATAGGTGTACCCGAAGTCATGCCCCTCTGCAATATACGCTCGCAGTGCATCAGCGAGTTCTGGATAACGTTCGAAGGTATGAGCTGTCCCCATAACTTCGTTCAGTTTGTTAAGGAGATCGTGGACTGAGCGTGGTTTCATCGAGGCTTCAACCGAAGAGATGATGTGTGTGCCCGTGTACTCCGCCTGAAGAGGCACCTCGAGGGAGTCTTTAGGCTGTCCGTCGGACAGAGACGAGATGTTGAAGGTCCTCGGAACACTGTAGGTTATTCCTGCTTGCTCACGAATTTTCCGTCGACGTTCTCGCCGCTCTTCTACAGCATGTCATTGTAGTGTCGAGCAAAATGGGTACAATAGGCTTCATACCTGCTGTGAGCTGGGAACGTGTTTAGGTGGAGACTAACAACCAGATACAAGACCCACTCACCTTTTTTCCGGCTGCCCCATCACTGTCCATCACAATAAACGACATAGGAGCACAACGTAGAGCAGGGCGAAAAGCGACGGTATGAAGGATACGGGCGAGGGACTGGTCACTGCTTTGCGACGCGCGCCGGTGCGCACCGTGACGGACGCAGGACCCTAGACTAGACGGGAGACCGAGCAGCGAATTGAAGAAGTGGCGGAATGCTGCCAGTACGTATACGGGTCAATCTAACTACCTGCATGGTGATGAACACGAGGCTCACCGTTGGTACCGTAGCGAGAGACAATTCGGCTCAGATAAAGTGCGCGGCACTAGGTAGGCACTTGGTCACGGTGGTTGACCAATAGTCCTCCTCCGTTGTTTGCGTGCGCATCCTTGATCACTCAGGCGGCCAGTCACAATCGGACTTAAGTTATGTCGATGCAAAAGTCTCGTAACCTTCGCTGCTACTTACATACAACTCGAACTACATAAGATGTAACTCGGTGATAGTCTCTTGAGTACTGATTTCATGGGCGCGCGGAGGAGGACAGAGGGAAAGATCACACGAAATGCGAACAAACGTCGCCAATTTACCTCGTTCTCAATCGCACCCACAAGGGTCGATGTCATAGGAGCTATCACACTAGTCCCATACTGTAACACATATCTTAGCTCTACTGACGGTCCACGAAACATACTGTACACATGATGTCGTTCCACCACCCTGTAGCTAGTAGTATGTGGTTACTAAGATCCTACACGCAACCTACATATTTTCGTTACATTGGTCTCGAGATTGGCACTTGTGTCGGCAGTACGAGCCCATTCCGATTGCCCAATCCCTCCTATTGCCGTGCTCTTTGATCATATCTTCGCCATATGCACCCTACGTCTGTATGCCTTGGCTGGGCCACTACGTACACCCTGCAACCAAACATATTCATGTCTGTCGTCAGCGCGTTACAGAGCGCCAGTAGAGCGACAGACAGCAGGAGTAGGACGCAATGAACAGAGCCCCAACGGTGGCTGTGTTGGCTGCAAGCGCGGCAGCGCAGTATACGAGTAGAGTCGCTACTCCGGTTGCAACGCTTTCCATCGGATCGAGCTCGCGTACCCATTGACCAGATGTGACCAACTTGATGTCATCCACTGTTCCTCGTAGCCGGACCCAGCGGTCCTGGCTGAGCAAGACGAGGAGGTCGCCTTGTACGCCAGGTTCCTTCTGTCCCTTCCATCCCGGAACCGCCCTCCTCCTGAACACAACCACATTCAGCGCCCGGGCAAGGACAAGCATTCCAAGGACTCCGACTGCCCAGTAATCCTCCATCCATCCAAGAACGACAAAGCAGGTGATGGTCATCGCAACGCCCGTAGTGTAAAGAAGAAGGGCGACCCAATGGCGAGGAGGTATGCGGTCGCTGGGTCGCACGGGCTTAACTCTGACGTCTGCGAGATGGCCCGGCTCGCCTATACGCTGCAGATAGAAGACCATCGCCTGGTTCTCGATCCTGAACACGTATCCGCTGTGCATGGCTGCGGCAGCAGGAAGTTCTCCCTTGTTCACCTCGGACGCCTTTTGTTGGGTATGGATGCCCGGCGCGAGGAAAAGCATGTCGATGTACCACGATGTTCCAATGAGAGCAGTCCTCTCCGAGATGGTGGAGAGGTCGGCGAGTGCTATAAGGCCTGCAGAGTCCAAGGATATGCCTGTGATCGAGTTCTTTGTGAGCGGCATGTTGATCTCGGTGAGCGATGCGATGTGATACGATGAGGGACGTGCAGGACGCGATATGGATGTCGAGCGCACACAGTTGTGTACGAACGATGCGAGCAGATATTACAGGAGCCTGAAGCAAGACGAGTTAGTCTAGTTGCAACAAGAAATTGTAGCAACGAAGCTCGCGAGCTCACCTTGAAGGACCGTCACAGGCCACGAAGGAGGGCGGCGATGGGCAGAGCGAGTCAGAAGCTGTGGTTGGGGACACGTACCTTCCTGTCTACTGTGACGCCCACGGCCATATTTGTCGGAGGCGATGAACAGATACTTACATACTAGTATGTAGCGCGCACATATGAGCTCGTATCCGCGCTGTCAAGCGGGTGCGTGTCGTAGGGTTTGGCTGTTACCGAATCGTGGCACGTAAAAGGTGTCACGCTTGTGAGAACACCTCGTAAGTACTTAGTCTCATATCAAGAACCTCCTCACATCTGAGGCGTTTGTGTTACGACATCCCGTACCCTGCCACTCCTGTTTGGGAAGTGGAATGGTGACCGGAAGGTGTGGTCGCGGAAGAGAAAGGGAAACATAAAAACCATGAGCCGGTGATGATTGAATGAGACAGGCATGCATGGTGCGAGGTGGTTTTGCCACTCGGTAACCGTCGGATGTCAGATAGTATCGGGCCGGGATCTCAGCCACTCTACTACGTGACTACTTAAATAAGTACAATGTCCTTTCATGTTTGTGCTCCCAGTACTTGCGTTCCAGTCAACTTACCCTCGGTGATATCTGTGACTCAAAAAAGGTGTCTGATGCTACCCTCCAGATTTGAAGAGCCTGCTCGACCTGATCCAGATGGCGCTGTACGCCTGACCGACTCGGACGCAGCGCTCGCACGTCTATCCGCCGTCCAGAAGCACTACCTCAGCGACCCTTTCATCCGCCACTTCGTACCTCGCGCACATCTGCAACCACCTCGTCCGCCGCTGATCAATGTCGGCACCTACGTGCGCTCGGAGGGCATTGACAAGCTAGTCGAGCGATGGTTCGTGTTTGCAGAGCAGGAGGGCACGCAATGCCAGATCGTCAGCCTCGGTGCGGGGAGCGACACCCGGTTCTGGAGGATTTCGGTGCGTACGGTACGAATCGCGATGCTGGGCTACCAGCGCGGTGACGGAGCATGTCTAGCCAGACGGGACCGAGGAAGGACCTGCTGCGAGCGTACCTTGAGGTCGACTTCGCCGAGATCACCACGAAGAAGGCCATGGCAATCCGTAAGAGCAAGGAACTCAGTGCAGTCCTAGGCAAGCCGGAAGATATTAGCATCGGTGAGCCCTCAGTCTTGTACGAGGAGCGACATGTCTTTGAGTATGCCCAGTCAGCGGCGGCACCTCTCTCCATGCACCGAAGTACCATCTCCTCGCAGGCGACCTCCGCCTACCGCCTCCGAGCTTCTCGCTCTGCTCGGACCTTATCTTTCCCCTGTACACCCGACTCTGCTACTATTTGAATGTGTCCTCGTCTACATGTCCCCCCAAGCCTCTTCCGCCCTTATCCAGGGCTTCGTCGACCACTTCGAGAGCGCTACAAGCGCGCAGGGTGGACACGGTGTACTCGGCGGGATCGTGTACGAGATGTTCGGGCTCGAAGACTCCTTCGGCAAAGTGATGAAGTCCAATCTCATGGTGAGTAGCGTGTTCACTGCCGTTCCGAGCGGCAACTGATGGACCGTTGAAGGCCCGCAACGTATCCCTTCCGGGTGCGGACCCTTATCCCACTGAAACCTCACTTTCCACGCGGTTTCTCAAGCACGGATTTACCATGGCGAAGCACTGACCCTCCGCGATATCCGCCGGTCATACGTCGACCCAGTCGAGCAGGAAAGGTAAGTAACGGCAGCCCTAATCAAGTTTGGTACTCACCAGCACTTCTTCTGCGTAGGATCTCTCACCTAGAGATGCTCGACGAGATTGAAGAGCTGGAGCTCGTTCTCGGACACTACGCGATCACCTGGGGTGTCAAGCTTCCCGGAAACGCCGGTGCCGTCAAGGCTCACTGGGCTGCATGGGACCTGGAGCCATATTCGACCGCCGGCGAAGATGCGGACTGAACTATAAGGCTGAAGGAAGCGTTGGGGAATGTACGATATCGTGAACGTAGTCTCGTGAAATACAACATTGTACGCATTGTCATGCTCGTTACGAAGAATACGCTAAAAGTGTTGATGGCGTCCATGAGACTGCCAAAATCGGTAATAAGCCGTCAGTACTTCAGTTGGCAAGCTCTAAGCCGCCTGGGGCGAGAGACCTGCGGCTCCCTTCCACGCCGCGCCAGCATTGGGATGTTCGCGGAAGTTGACAACGTTGTCGATGTCTTCACGCCTGCTCAAGGCGTTAGTCAACAATCCATCGGATCACTACACCTTACGCACTTGATCAGACCTTTCGCAATCTGCTGCTCCGTGAGCTCCTGCAGGTACGGGATGAGCTTATGCTGGTACTTCGCCACGCTCTTGTACTGTGGATAGAGCGGTATTAGCGGCAGAAACTCGAGTGAGCGAGATTGCGGTTGGGTGTATATCCGTACCTTCATTAACATCTCGTCTGAGTCGGTGTGGATCTTCGCAAGTAGCGCAGGTACGAGCGGGTTATCTGCCAAGTCTTCCATGCGCTTCAACACAGGGTGGCTGCAGCCCATCACACGAAAGTTAGCATCCCACAGAACCACAAAAATGCAGGGTGTGCCTACACGCCGAACATGATCCCCTTCGTTTTCGGCAGCTTGCGAAACGTCTGGTGGTCGAACCGGAGGAAGAGGTCCTTCGGGTGCAAGTCCTCGCGCACGTCGTTCGAGATGATGTTGTCTGACGTCCAGCGCTGAGCACGGCACACAAGACAGCTGGGCGACACTCACGCCAGAACAGCTCGCGGTCGTCCGCGATCCACCAGCTGCACCGCTCGAACGGCCGGTCAGGCGCGAACCGCACCATCGTGCGCTCCACGCTTGTCAGCATCCTGTTGAAGTGCGGAATCTGCGCGTGCAGCTGGTGAAGGGGCTGCCCGATCTTCTCGGATAGTAAGTACGACCCTAGACGGCGGCGAGTCAGAACGGATCTAAGAGCGGAGGGGACGCAGCGCGCACCGGGGAAGACGATCACGCCGCCGACGAGGTAGACCTTCCCGTCTTCGCGCTCGCGTCCCATGAGGAAGTCATCCTTCACCAGCCTTCAGTCCGTCAGAAATCCGTGCTGAGTGTGTAAAGAAGGTAAGCTCACCTGGTCACGACCATCAGCGCATCGATGCCCTTCAGGTCGGAGACATTGCTGAACGTCTCCCCGGTCACCTTATTATGAATGCCATTTGGGACGGGGCCTGGCGTCTTGGAGGGGATGGCGTCGAACAGCGTCGGGTACCGCTTCGGGAGGTAGTCGACGAGGGTCTCAAGCAGCTCTGTGCAGGCTGCATCGTTTTCGGGGAGCGAGTCCACGACGACTCTGCCTGTCCAACCTCAGGTTTAAAACGAACACACGTCCTTCCACCTATCTTACCTTGTTCCTTGATCACTCGCGCCTTCTCGTCAAGATACCACTGGTACTCCTTGTCGATCTCGATCCAGTCATTGATATGTAGCGGCTGGTGCGCCATCGTCTACAACCCGCGCCCATCAGCACCGTCCTCGATCAGGAAGCCGCCATCTGGGGAAAGAAGACGTCGCGCCGCTTCTGCGGATCCTAACGTACGACGGCCGATCACGATGCATAGCGAAACAAGACATACCTGGAAATACGGATACCGCAATACCTTGTTCACGTACACATAGTTGCGCAGCGTCGCCGTGCTCAGGTCGAAGTCCAGCAGTGGATCAGGATCGGGGAGATATCCTGGGCCAGTAGCATCCCATGCGCCTCCCTCAGTCTTGCCAGACCCATAGCGCAGTGCCTTCGGCTCCTTCTCAACGATGCCTGTGGTTTCCGCCTGGGACGTCGCGGGAAGAATGGGAGATGCGGAGGCCTGCGCCCCCGCGCGCCGCAGAGACAAGAAGACCTTGACTACGACCGCGATGATGAGCACGCTCAGGAGATCTTGCCAGTCCACCGTCACGAGCGCGTTCCCGATCTGAAAGGTGTATGGCATCTCTGCGGACGCTGAGCTTATGCCCTGCCAGGATGATGGCGAGAAGTAGGGACCTCGAGCTCGCCTCCGGGCCTCACGGCGGCGGATACTTATGTGCAGGCCCTTCGAGGCGCGTGTGATAAGACGTGTCTTCTAGGAGCGGCTACCTGTCCGAGGCAGTCGATAAAGGAGTTTCCACTGGCGAACATTTCCAGCGACTTACGTGTGAGTGGGGGCTGCATTGATAGGCATCTGCTTCCGCAATAAAGGCTTCAGGCGTCTCGTGGAATCTGGATAGAAGCCTCAGTCACGGCCCTCACCATCATGAGCATATGACTAGCTAGTAGCATCTACGTACGCAGGAGAAATGAGTCTCGACTGCAACTCGACTGCGACCAGGCTGACCGGAAAGCGAGGGTGCACGCTGTGAGTACGCAGAGAACCCTAGCATCCTCCGCTTGATTCAATAGCGAGGAGGCTCCTGGCACATGCAAGCTTGAGCAATATCTTCTGATGTGGCATGTGACACCGAGGATCGATTACGCACTTCATATCACTCTCTTGGAAGTCTGGGACTGAGAACAAGACTCTAGGCACCAGGCGTCCAGTAGATACACCTGTAGCACAGAATTGATCGAGGGGATTGTACCAATGAACATGGCAAACAAGACAACCCGCTCGACGGTACACTGGTGGTACTTCGTACCGATTCGATCTCCACGTCCATCTGCCGCTCATCTCGCTTACGCCCGCCCTCTTGGTACGAAGGACTTCGAACGTTATCACCACGCCCTCCGCTGCAAAACAGTTCACCGGGCAACGTGTGAACGTATACACACAACAATCGCATTAAATATCGAATGAACGACAGGGCGAAACGAACGACAGGTTTGCGAGTAGGTACGATAGTATAGCACACATCCTGGGGGACGGGGGGTGGGGCTGCACGCTGGGCGAACGACGAGAATACGCATACGTAGGGTCGACGGCGTATATATCGTGTATCCATTCATGCAACGTCCATCAGTCAGTCGTCGAGAGGCGTACGTAGGGTGGGGAGTACAGTACGTAGCGGTAAGTTAAACGAAGCAAAGGCAAGAGAGCACGCGAAGGAACCAAGACGTGCAGCCAACACTAGGATAACACAACGGGGCGAAGCGGATTAGACCAGGGGACGCAAGAAGGGGACTGATAGACAACACACGGCCGAGCAGCGGGGCCCGACCGCAGAGGGATGGTACACGACATGACGAAGACAACAGAGGTGCGGGTGGTATGGTCGACGAGGAAGTACGAGCCAGCGAAACACTAGGGATGTATGAGTGAGGGCAGGGGAGGTTGGATCCGCAGTCCTCAGGTCCGTAGCGGCACAGTAGAAGTAGAATCCAGGATGTCCCGTCTAGGAATAACAACAACAACACCACACAACACCAGCAAGCCCTCCTCGATCTACACCACGCGAGAAAGAAGACGGGATACAGGGGAAACTCGTGAGTCGTGAAGGGTAATAGTACAGCCTCTCGCTGGGCGATTTTCACTGCGCCCTCGCGGACAAGGTGCGTTAGAGAGCGACGGCGCGAGGATGAGAGGGATGACGGCAAGACCACCGGCGACGATTTGCGTTGTGCCCGGAAGCGGTCGATGTCTCGCTAGCAGAGCCAGAGCCAGTGGACGATCCGCTGGAACCGGTGTGGTAGCAGACGAGGATTTGGACGTCGACGTCGCAGTGCCATTCAGCGCTTAGCGTTGCGCTGCATCAATCGAGTTAGCACTGGATCCTGCGGACTTCACAGTGGCACATACAACAAAGCCGGCAAGAGTCTGCCACGAACTCTCGTTGATGTTGATACCGCCGACACCCCAATGGCACAAGTGTTCCAGTCGAAAAACCAGATCGTGCTGTTGTCCGTGATGGGGAGAATGAAGTTGGTGATGGTGGTGAAATTGCCAGCATCACGGAAGCCGGTGGTGAAGCCGTTGACGGTGACGTTGGTCTCGTCAATCCAGATGCACGGCGACGGGAACGTGGACTGGATGACAGTGTGGTTGCCCTGAGTGACTGTCGATGAATAGCGCGTCAGTAATCTGGATGTCCTCCTGCATGCAGTACCAACTCCACGCCCGCACTACGCCCTGCAAAACGGCCACGCGCTAGGAAACAGGGACAAGAATGTTTGACGAACGAACGGAGAAGTACTCACAATTGAAGTAGACCGTGTCTCCTATCGCAGCGTTAACCGATGAGGCTGGTAGACCAAGCTGCCGTTGGTGGTTGTGTTACCGCCGACGGTGATATTCCACTGTGTGGGCGTCGGGGCAGCCGACGAGGAGGTCTGGGCGTACACAACGGACGCAGCGGCCAACTGTCGTCGTCGCCGGGTCGAAAATTGATCGTACGAGCGGGCTTATCAGCGATGTTCCCGTTCTTTTGCAGTTGAAACTCACGGCAGAGGCGATGAAGGAGAGAGCGAACATCTTGACTCGAGACGAGCTTGTGAAGACGGCGAGGAGAGAACGGAGTGGCCTGAGGGCGAAGGCGGGCTACCGAAGTCGAGGAGGACAAGGGTGAGGACTGCCCGCAGACCTCCTCGCACCTAAGAGCACCGTTGCACGTGGGATTTTCCTGCCGCACTGGGCCGAAGCTTCGGTGCCACGGGCAGGCCATTGCCTAGAATGGTCATCGATGACGCCGTTCGCCGCCCGATCGCTCGGCGTGCGCACTGCGTACGCACGATTGCTGCACGGCATTGGCTGAAGCCACATATCGACAGCTCAATTTCGGGTCCGCACAGCTGCCGTGCTAATTTCGTCCCATAAGTTGTCCATAAGCCAACTCGTTCTCGGCGCATGGTCGCCGCACGGACCACGTCTAGGTAGAGCCTGTCAGCCTCATGGAGGCTACGCGCACGGGCGTAGAATGTCTGACAGACTGTATCAACCAAGTCCTGCGCACGCAGGAACCGGCAGCGAGCCTTAACTTGTACGCTGGAGCTCCAACGCGCTCCCGATATTCGCGAGCGGCGTGCCCGCTTGGAGTTGGCTTGGAATCAATCACACCGGGAAGCTGCCCGTATACCGATTCGGACGGGATGCAAGCGACGGAGCTCTCGTCGGTCGCTCTCTCTCGTCAAAAGGTAAGCTTTTCTGATACGTCGGGATCTGAGCTTGTATAACATATAACCTAAGAATATGCCGGACGAACGTCGAATGTAAACGAGATGTCAATGTCCGCAGGAGGTGGTCAAGTCTCCCATGAATACGAAGTGAAAGGGGGATTTCATGGGTTTGTGGGAGACGGTCAGTGAGGCTGGTGCTCGAACAATGCAGCGCAACGTCTACAGAAGCCGCAGGGCATGTACCATTCAAGTTCCCACATGACAGTTCGACAAGTCTTCGTGAGAAGGGCACGTCGTCATCTTGGAACGCTAAGTGTCAGAACTCTGCAGAATTTGAAACTGAACAGAAGCCCGTCCATGCACGGGGATGGGTCTGGATGAACGCAATATCGAACCTAGACCTTCCACATGGCGCTAGAGAGAGGTTCATGTCGAATGTACGGATGAACGACCTTACCTCTGCACAGGATACCAAGATGACTGCCGAACACATCACAATTGCATGAAGATCTAAGGACCTAGCCATTCATTGGGGCAAGGCATCGTCTACCGCAGTGACCATTCAAGAGAGAAAGTGAAATCAGAAATCGTAGCTGTCGCGTACTCACTCAGCTAGTTCAGGGCATGCCTGCTTCGCCGACACACTTTCGTTATTTTCTAAGTCCGTAGCGCGTAACAGGGAAGGACTAGTGCTGTCCAGAGCGCGTATATACTCACTGAACTCTGAATTGTCCCAACGAAGGGTAGCCTATCTGTCTCGATTCCTTCAGAACATTCCCGGCTGCGGAAGCTGGGATTGTACAGTACCGAAGCATGGGCAGGGCCTGTGGCACAGGAGTACGGCGAGCGAGCAACCACACATAAGCTACGCGACTGTGTGGGCAGCGATGGCATAATGTTGGCGAGCGCAACCAGTGGTGTAGTGAGATAAAGAGAAGGCAGAGCGCAAGCAACGTTTCGAGCTGCATTCAACAAGGACAGACTGGCTAATCGCGACGGCAGGAGCCGTGTCACGTACACCGTGGCAGTACGATAGCGGTAGCGCAATATACTCGGGTCGACCAGCTCCCCGGGATGGTACATTGCCTTGCCTAAACAGCACACTGTCATTGGAGGAGTATTGCAACGCACCTGAGGTTCAGTTGTCACGCGCAGCGCACTTGCGGGCTTCTTGTTGTCGCCTGTCGAGCACGTTCGAGCTGCCGTCTTGTGGAGAACCGCCGTAACGCTGACCATGTCAAGACAACCCATCTCAAAGTGTCCGAGCAGGAGAACACAGTCGCTGAGAGATATTGCGGCAAGGTGAACCAATACAAGACCCTTCAAGCACCCGCACCAGAAGTCGAGGCGGTGGTGAGGATTGAACGCGAGCGGCGTCCGCTGCCCACGTTGTGCCTGCTATTGTAGAACTGCGAATCATACACAGAGACTTCGCGCGACGCCACCGGTCTTCTCCGGGGGCTTTCAGGACATTCAGCATCTGCAACGCGAGGGGCCCGAAAGGCGAAACAACATGAGTCGTTTGCACCCTGTGTCCGACATCCCCGGGAACATCGCGCAGCTAGCATGGGAAGGAAGGGAAGACAAGCATGCAACTCACCGAGGAGCGCCGAATTTAGCTCGACAGGGCGGATAATCCGTGCCGCAGAACAGATGGCGTCAAGGTTGACTAGAGGATGTGTCCCTCATCTTGGCCTGGTTCATCACTAACTGGATGGAGGCTTAGCTGTCGTAGGCCTTGATCAAGGGGAAGCAGTATATCTTGCGTACCTCAAATTGACTGCTCGTTTGTCTGCACTCACCGGCGAGCCCGATGACGCTGTCCCAGTGCCTTGCGAAGGCACCATTGACATGTATGCACTCTCGACTCCGAGTGATAGCAGCCCCAGAACCGCGTCCAGACTGGGGAGCCTCGCAGGGGGGTTGCCCGTTCGCTCACAGCGAGAACGGCTCGGCACGGTCTCGCGAGCAACCTAGGAACTCAGCGAAGACTCGCCGAGTTGCAGGTGCCCGATCCGGACACTCCCTCACCGCCCGCCACCCACACGTGATCTCAGCACAAACGGACGCCCAAATAAGGCAGGCGGTCTCGATCAGACACGCTCCCGGCGTGCTCGAAATGGCGACCCTTGTCCTGCGCGTTGCTGCTTCGTTGACGACAGCGTCCCCCCGCACACGCGCATCACGTTACGAAATTCGAGACACGGCACGATGCCGCACCCAAACGATCTCCCGGAATGGCAGGAGGGCTTCGCGCTGCTCGGGCGCCTTGCCATATTCGTCGGTTAGTTTGAGACCGAGCTCGAGTGCATGCCGAGGGGGTATAACTGTCCAGCGAGCCTTGTATTCTCGTAGCGATCCCTCCAGCACATCACATCTCAGGCCTTCACCAGCCTGACAGCTGCCTTCCTCCGGATCGCCCGCCCTACCACCCGCCGATCACTGCGCGATCCCGCCCCTTCCGGAGTCGTTCCTGCAGCAGCGTCGCGAGTTAGCCGTTCATCCACACTCGGCCAAAACATTTGTCGTCATGGTTGCTACTTTCATCCTGACACGCACTTTGCCATCTCGGCGCTTTTCGTCGGAGGTGAGTTCGCTAAGCTCTCGGACCCGGCTTGTATTCACCCGACACAAATAGCCTTCGATCTGGCATACGCAGCGCCTGTGCCTTATGGCGTCGACATCAGTCTCGAGCATAGGAACTGTCGAGATGGTGGCTGCGAGTCCGAAGCCAGAAACTGCAGAGCTGGTGGCTGCATGCGATCCATTCCAGTACGTTCTGACAGTGCAATACACCACTCACTTCATTGACCATGTTATAGGTCGAGCTCATGAATTTCCCTGACGCACCGGCCGTCAGAGATGCGGGGCCAGGGACACGTAGTATGTTGGACGACATACTAGAGCATCTATCGACGACATCGAGTGATGCATTGGCTGTGAGTACACCCGCATCCCAAGAGAGGACTGACACTCACGCCCGACCGCAGGACCCAAATCCGGACGAGGCAAGTACCGCCGTCGAGGAAGCCAGTCGCACACTCAACGTCGAAGCTCGAGAACCGGTACCGGCACCCCGGCCGTCTGACGGTAACGTAAGTATCCCTTTTCTTCTCATCTGCAACTCGAATACTCACCGTGATCCAGTGTCGCGACGGAGGATGCGAATGAACATCATCTACCTCGTCGTCCTTCCTATACACGCTGTCTTCCACGTCCTGCATTCCCCGGGCTGTCGTCCTCGCTCCGTTATGGTCCCCACTCCTTCACAAGTCTGGACACTTGACGCATCTCATCTCGCCGGCGTCATCTCACCTCCACTCCTCCTTTGACCCTGGCCTTCCGCATTGGCACCCGCGAGTCCACACTGGCGACGGCCAATAGAGAATCGCAGCTGGCCTGCCCTTCGAGGCCCTTGCGAGCCCGTCGGACGCTGCCACGAGCTCTTTAGATTATTACTTACCTTTTGCAAAAACTATCTGTTGTTTGTTGTACTCTGGTGTATTTTAGTGCTCTGTTTGCTAGTCGCCTGCTGTCGTGTTATGTCTCTGTCGCTGATTATTTTAGCCGTGCTTATTCCGGCCACATGCTCGTGCAAATATTGAATAATGATATGTTCTGTGTGAGCGTTGATGGATGCGTTCTGGAAGAAGAACATCTATAACCCACACCCGGAGCTGACCTGACCGTCGACTGCCAAAGAGCACTTCCAAATAGCTAGGACGGTATCACATCCATCTTCGGCTGTATTGTCCGTGAAGTGATCGACACCTTAGAACATCTAAGCGGTCGACGCCAAACTTTCTCGAGACTATGTACAGTACTCATTGGGGACCGTGTACTGCGCCTTGTCAGCGAATCCGCGAGGCAATTGTCGAGTGGTATAGTCACCTACGTGACTGAATGTTAAACAGCATCTCATGCGGGAGCTTGTGTGCATCGGTACCCATTGCTGTAACACTGCAGTCGACATGACCCAGAATGGTGCATCGAACTCCGTCGAGTGTCCAAGTTCCGCCCCATGTATATCTGCCGTCAAGCGAGCCTTTTGTCAGTAGGACCGTGCTGTAAATGACCACTTACTTCTGAGAGATACAAGCCCAATACGGTGGTACGGGATTACATTCGGGCTGCACGGTCAACGTTGTTGGGGCCTGGTCTGCATTCGTTCCCCGACTCGGAGTCTCGGTATTGACCGCAGCAACTAGTTCCCACTGTACAGGTTCGAGCTTCCGTGGCAATCTTTGATTGAGCTGAAGTGCACCAATGGAGAGCACGCCTTGAGCTCCGTTACCTAGGCCGCAACGACATCACGGCGTTCAGAAGGCTATATGCACACGCGCACGACGTGTACATCCTGTGGGGCATTCCGAAGCAAGTGACGGATTTCATGTCAATCTGAGCCAGTATTGACCATTCAATGGAGTTCCCTGTGTGAAGCAATCGAGTGTGACTGCGTGCGTCAGCATTTATTCAAGTATTCACAGTCACTAACCGGAACCAATAAACACACGCTCCACAGGGCGTAGTAGATGTTGTTTCCCTTTTTCGGAACCTCGAAAGACGAGAGAAAGCCGCGCACACTGCAGAGTCCAGAGCTGCTGAGGCTTGAGAACGGGAATAAAGGTAAGACCAAAAAGAGAGTGGCTGGAAGAGCGCGCGTCGACCGTTCCTGACGTGACATGTTCAGAAAAGGCAATCGTTGTAGTTCATGCACTATTGGCGCTGGTAACAGTGCGCGCCTTGCCGACAGCCGCCGCCTTCCGACAAACAACGGCCTTCTTTTGGATGCAACCCATGCAATCGCGTGTATCTCCGTGCAATGCGCTTCCCTTTTTATTTTGAGACACGCGAACCCGGGGGAGATGCCGAGCGACAGGCCGAATGAATTTGTAGTGCCGTTGCAGGTATAAGGATCCTCTAGTTGTGACGAGTCAGTAGGTCCACAACCGATCTTACCTCCCGAGGTGCCACCTCTAGCGATACTCACCGTTTCATCTTACTCCTTCGTCGTTGTACATATTCTTTGATCATCCAATCACCATGGTGGCCACCTTGATCCTCACTCGCACATTCGCAATTTGTGCGATGATCGTCGGTGGTGCGTCCCACAGTGATCCGAAGTGGAGGTTTGAGCTGATATTTGACGTTGTCAGTCCCTCTGACGAATGCTGCCCCATTATATCATCTTCTGGTATTCAGCATATCGACGAGAGGAACTGTCGCTTCTTAGGGTGCTTGTTCGCAGCACCGAACGTACGTCTTGCATACCATCTGGCCGCGTACTGTTCTCACCTCGTATTAAGGCCACGCATCGACTGCGGACATTCCTTCGCTGTCTGGAACGGCTGATACCACGCCAGAGGCGTCCGTGCCTTCCGAAGCAACCGAGACGTCCTCTGGCGGCATTCGAATGGCACACATCATTGCAAAGGTCCTTTCAGAAGTTGAGGGAAGCCCTCGACGATTTCTGCCAGTGGGATATTGAGGATGCCCCAATATTGCACCCCGGATCTGGACGCAGAATGGGCCGAGCTATTGCCGGAGGTAAGCAGACTTGCATCCCACGAAGGTGTTGCATCCTCACGACGGAACCTAGATTGACTCGCTTGAAAATGAGCGCTGCCAGAAAATTTGGCAATGCCCGCTCGCGCTACCAGTTTACACCCATATCCGTGCCCACTAGCTGGATGGTGGACCACCTTCTTTCAGCCCCTTGATGTCCATGTGGTTTGCCTCGTCCGGACAACATCGTCTAGCTTTCTGGAATGCTCTCGTGTTAGCTCTCGCCTGTTCTGCGACACCTCCTAGTATTAGTGCTCATCCTCGATCCGATCTCCCTGCTTGTCTTCTGGCGCCGAGCGTGCAGTCGACGCCCACCTTGTTTGGTGGTTGCAGGCAGACCGCTCACTTCCATTCATTCAAGCACATACATAGGCATCTGGATTTACTGTATCCGTTAAATTCTTAGATTGTCGTGGTCCTGTGTATCTGTACTGCTCGTGTATCCACCTTACCACCGTGTTAATCCCGGTTTGTTCATGAAATAATCGAACTGAGCAATCGACACGACAATTGTCGATGTAGCATAACACCTTTATTCCCTGACAAGTATCTATAATTTACCCGACTGCTTGGTTATACTGTACCATGGCACTAGAGACACTAATACATGAGACTTTGCAACCTGAGAACACCGTTCAAACTGTCGAGAACACACAGTCTTGAAGTACTGCTTCAGCCCGTCTCGCCGAACACAATCCCTCCACTACGCCGTCCGGCCTGACAACCACGACAGTCGTGCCATCCGTCGGGCAGTTGTACGCCTTGTATGCATGACCTTCTCCGTCACGGAGAACGGAATCCGCGTGGGCGACGGGAGGGCTCCTCGACGTACTCTGGGGATAGATACCGAAGACCGGACTGCCTTCGGGGTAAGCCTGCAGTGCCTCAGCACAGGCCGAGTAGCGGAGGCGTCAGATGTGAAGATGAGACGGTGTGATGGGTGGACCCGAAGACGTCGAAGAGACGCGCCGACGCCGAGCTCGCTTGTTTCACGTCGACCAGATCCGGGCATCAGGGGCCCTGTCGCCTGCACGCAGGGTCTCCCCGCCGAACCTGCCGTACACATCTAGACTGTCCACCGTCTGCTGCTTGTCGACTGGCTGGCGCTCGTCGAGAACAATGGGGCTCCAACGGTAGTTGATGCCGAGCTGCTTGAGGTGAGCGCCGCGGGCTTTGTTGACGTCGGCGCCGCGCACAGCAGAGTCCATGACGACCTTGTAGATCCCGAGAGTCTCTTGAATCATGCGCTTGGCTACGGGTAGGCGCTCTTCAGAATACGTGGAGAGGAGGGAGGGCGCGGCCAGCCCTTCTCTACCAAGGCAAGTTTCCAGCCGAGGTTCAACTATGAAGCATAAGGCTGTCAATCATCGCACACACATTGCAGACTGGCTTGGAACGTACTGCATCCTGCACGCTTGTGTTCAACCCCTGTAAGCGAAGAATCCATGTAAGTACGCCCTTGAATGCAGTGACATTATGCACATACCTGTCCGCCCTGCGGGCTGTGTACGTGAGCAGCATCTAAAAGCAGTGGACATCAGTTAGATTGGGCATCTTGCAAATAATATTGCCGCATACCTCCAGCCACGAAGACGCGCCCCACTCCGAACTTATCAACAATACGTGCATTAGGACTGTTACGATGTCAGACTCCCTATACTCGTGCTTATCTTAGACAGCAGACTGACCGATATTCAATGGCATACTTGATGTTGCCAATGACCAAGTCTTTACGCTGGATGAAGTCGCGTAGGGCCTTGAGTAACTTCTCGTGGTCCGCCAGGAGCTCGCTATAGTCAACATGACCTCCTAGCAGAAACCAGAACTGGTCTTGACCTCGGTTGGCCGGAGAATCACGCTGCCCAAACCACCGTCAGCAAAATCCAATCATAGCAGCATATCGAAGGGAGCATATGACGTACGTGATGACGGTCGGATTTTGCCAATCATTCCACCGATGCCAATGCTAACGGCAAAGCATATCAGGACCTGCTCTTTAAGAGTGAGAGCCGTATACGCACGTCTGCATCCAGTCCCTGTATGTCGAGTTCTCCGATGATGGTATGTTCCTTGAGTGCTTCGCCCTCGAAGGAGAGCCCCAGCTGCTTCCGGACGTTGCCTATTCACGCAAGCTCTCATCAGACTCAGGACATCCCCCAAAAGGCATTGTAACGTACTCCTGCCTCCATCTGTCCCCACAAGCCAGCGCAAGTGCGACGTCTCGACGAGCTCCTTCCCATCCTGCTGTTTGACAAGTGTGGCAACGACGCCCTCAGAAGTCTGCTCGAACTGGCGAAGCTCAGTTTCGGTTTCGACGGTGCAGCCGAACTTCTCGAGGTGCGAGCGAAGTATCGCCTGGGTGTATCCCTGCCCCAGGATGATCGGGTTAGGCTGCAGAAGAAGTCAGTACGGGCAGATAAATAGCAAGGGTTCGCTCACATAAGGTACATCGGGCGTCGGGTCTACCGGATCCAGCAGGTGTGCGGTTTTTTGAACTTCTATGCCCCCAGGCAGCTTGTACTGACGCTCAGGCAACAATGGTCTATTGATCGCGTGGATATCTGGCAACACGCCGAGATAGTTGAACACCTCCAGCGTTCGAGGCTGAGTCCGCTTTCAGTCAGCTGCAGTCAAATGGCTCAGCTAAAGCTTTCGCACCTGGAGGACGGAACCTCGCTGCTCTAGGGGGAATCGTGCTGCCCGTCGATGAGGCGGACTGGGATGCCGTTCTTGAGGAGTGTGAGCGCAAGCGTAAGGCCGAGGGCCCAGCGCCAGCCTGTGAGATCGATGAGAGTGTTCAATAACGGTGTCTAGTAACATAGGGAGGAGCGCTGATTTCGATGACCACTCACAATCAAGACTCCAGGGGAAGTAGTTTCAGCAGACATGTGCGAAGGAAGAGCTATTCAGAGTGAGGCAGAAGTTGGTGACAGTCCCTGGTATCGTTCGCCCCTACTTATATACACTCACTGAGCAGCAATGAGTGTTTTTCACACAGATGTTGATGACGAGCTGTCCGTGCCGCTAGGACGCGTAGGGATGTCTGCGGAACATGCGATCAGAGAGTTTTGTCCGCGCAATGTCTGCGGCACATGAATTAGAGGCAGGCTGTGCACCCCAAATGTCAACGTTTCAACACAGACACACCTGGATCGACCTAACGTAATGTTAGGTATAGTAACCCCTTTCGCGCAGCTTGATGCAGAGCTGACCGTGACAGGAGGATGATCGACGAGATAGATGAACTTCTTGCGCGATACACGCAAACTGATGGCGGTGCATGGGCAGATGGCAGTACATACACAACCGGTGTTCACGGATACAGCATCCTCGAGGTCGTAATCCAGCAGTGGAAACATCGTGATCAAAATCGGGTTGCGTTCAACTTGAGGTGCTAATACATAAATCGTACATAGACTTGGGAACACTGCGACCACTTCGCCACCACACCTGTAATATCATACTGCGTATAACTTATCCCCATGGAGGTCCTATTGATTGAAGTTGCATCGGATTTCATCCACTCAATCAGACTCAATCGAGGTCGTCCACTGGCAAGCAGGGAGGTCGTCCAAGCAGGAGACTCCTATTGCCAAGCCAGTTCTTGAGGCACTTGTCCCCTTTTGTGCACTCCTCTTCTTGATAACCCCTCGTGTCCATTGACGGAAAAGGATACGGAGGATGAAAAGAAGACAAGCGCAGCCTGAGCGCAGCAGCCTGGAACGAGGTCTGGAACGAGGTCTGGAACAAGGGTAAGTTGACGTAGGTAAGTGCTTGAAGTGATAGACTTACTTATGGTAGACTTATTTATTTAAGTCCTTAAGTATATTTTAGCTGCATTTGGTTCAGCGCTGCACGCTGTCGGGCGTCTGCAGGTCGAGCGTTGCCGGTCCTCCTCGTCTTCCTCCAACGTCTACGGCCCCTTGTGCCTCCTCCCATCCCTCCTACGCCGCCATGTCTGCAAATCCATTGCTTGCGCCAATATTCCTGCAGGAAAGGAGCCACTGCCCCAGGAGTGTCGGAAGAGGAGCGCGAGGCGTACTTGCAAGGGCAGAAGTACCAGCAATACATGGCTATGGGCGCGGAGTCGTGTGTTGCGAAGACAATACTCGCCGGTGGCATGGGTACGTTGAGTCTACCTACAGTTCCTTAGCTCCGGCGACGTTTTAGTAGTTATCCGGAATGGCTAGGTTTTGGCATTGGTGCATTCTTCTCCCTCATGAGCACCTCGTTCGCGTATGAGGACCCTCTCCTCCGACAAACAACGGGGAATCTGTCCCGGACACAGAAGGCATCAGAGATCTTCAAGGACATGGGGAAGGGAATGTGGCGGAGTGGGAAGGGGTTTGGGAAGGTCGGTGCGCTGTTTGCGGGCATCGAATGCGTGATCGAGTCGGTGCGTGCCCTTCGCTGTTTATCACCTCGGTGTTCGCTGACAGGTCATTAGTATCGTGCAAAAAATGACATGGTGAACCCTGTCGCAGCTGGCTTCGTCGCTGGTGGTGTCCTGGCGAGGAATGCAGGTCCAAAAGCCGCAGTCGGAGGGGGCATCGCCTTCGCGGCCTTCTCCGCAGCGATAGACCTGTTCATGAGACACGAATCATCGGAGTGAGTCTACTTTTGCTGGATGCGACTCGTGCTCATTTCTGACAGTGAGGATTGATGATTGCTCTCGCACCACTCTACCTGGATTACCTTAATGCCTAGTCTAATGCATCAATGCACGCTAAAACTCCCAGCTTTCCTGCGCTTTCCATTGCTGGCCGTCCCGCCGTTGGCCGTTCGACTATGAACTCTTCCAACCGATGCAAACTCACGGGTTCGCCAGACTCGGACCTCATCGCGGAATGGTATACACCACCGCGCACTTGACAAGGATCATGTCGGACCCCATGCTCCCGTGACTCATTGAATGGTTCCGCATGCCTGTCTCGCTGCGACGAGTGGGACGAGTTAGATTGACATGTGCCTTGGACAACATCAAATGAAACGCCGATATTTGCCACCCGACTTCAACCGAGTGCTCCCTTGTTGACAGCGCTACTGACTATGGCGTGCACGATGGTACTTAAGCTGGACGTGAGGCCTGACTGTGTACAGCACCGAACTCACCGCTGTATTCGCTCACTGCGTTCAGTACTCAGTTTGAACCTAAAGTACTCAACTATGGGCGCCTCGCAGATCGCCAAACTGGCCTAGGCTTGGGTCAGGCTGAGACGCATCTGTACGCGGCGACCCACAGCGTGACTGACTATGGATCGGAGACCTCTTGCGCTAAGTGAGTGGCGCGAGTTCCATTGCATGATACGGGCTATTGAATCAAACCCATACACAGGGAGTTATTCCGATGGACACATTGATGGTCCCGGTGGCCATTGCCAGTCTATCCGCTATTATATCATCTTGCAAGTTTGTGTGCAGGTCCTCCGGAAGCGCCAAGTATCCAGGAAAGTATTGTCTGTGGTGTTAGATACTGATCTTAGCAGTGTCAACCATGCTTCGCCTTCTGTACGACGCGTTCCGCACTGGAAGGCCGGTCCGTGAAGTACGCATTCGACTCGCAAGGATGTTGTGCTGCATCATTCTTCTCGGCTTGTCAGTCGTCACTGCCGTTTGGGCTCATCAGCAGGCTAGCCGAATCATCTGGATGCACGCCGCACTCTGCGTGACAGTGGTGGTCACGGTCATTCGGCCTCAACACCTCACACTCACCACTTCGCTGGTATTCTAGGCATATGTTTGCGTGCTCTCGGCGTTAAATATGTTCACCGAACCAGATGCAGCAAAGAGGCTCACTCTTCCGCGACACCTCTCTTCGTCTTGCTAGTCTTATGGGCGTCTACGTCTACCGTGACGTTTGGCCCTCGTAACTTTCACAATAGCGCCCCTCGATATACACGAGGGTCCAATCCTATGGACGAAACTCGTCATGCTCGCACTGGCAGCCGTCGTCATCCCTCTGGTTGAGCCGCGTTTGTACGTGCCCGTCGACCCGGACGTGAGTGCATCTCAGTCAATCACTCGATGAAAGTCGAAATCTGAACGTCGACGTGGCCATTCAAACAGCATTCCGTGTCCGAATCGAGCCCGGAGCAGACCGCCTCCCTTCTCTCGACATGGCTGTTTGCGTACTTAGACAGAGCATTTTCGAGGCTATGCGCGTCAAGCACCTGCCTATCGACAAATTTCCGCCTTGCCGGACGAAGATACGGCACGGCACCTCGCTCAGGCCGCTTTTCCCGTGCGTTGAGATGTGACATGAATGGTACTTCGTCTTTCTAACGCGCTCAAACGACTAGCTCTGGATACGCTGCATAGCAAGAAGCGCCAGCATGCGGCATGGGGCCTGTTGAAGGTCTTCCGTATGTGACAGTGAACATATGTTGACAGCCTGTGTTCGAACGCATTCTGTATAGGCTTTGACTTCTTGTTCATCGGAGTTTTGATGAGCTTGCATGTAAGCGGTCGTACTCGTCTCCTGAATTGAAGCTCACTCCTTCATAGGCCTTTGCATTACTCGCCAATCCATTTGGCATGAAGATGCTACTTGGTACACGCGGTAGCCTCCTTCGACGTGCAGTTAGCTAATGGCTTCTTGATAGGTACATCGAGACGGGAGGAGAGGGCGCTGTAGTCAAGCCCTGGTTCTGGATTCTTTGGATGTTGTTTGTGCCCGTCATCGGCGTCATGCTAGTGAGCCTGCGATGTCGCATGCCGTGCGTTCCATCCTTGCCACAGTAGGCAAAAAAATGATCAAAACCTGACAGATGAGGATTACGGTCCGCACCGAGGCGATCGTAACTGAATTAGTCTTAATCATGCTCTTCGGATGAGACTCAAAGCGGAGATAGACGACACAGGAACAGCACCAGGGCAAGATTCGCAGAACAGGACACGGGAGACAAGAATGTCACTGGGCGAATCAACAACCTGATTACGAGCGACCTCGCGAGTATTCACCAAGTGCGCAACGCGCTCAACGTCTTACGTTCGCTTCAGAGTTGCTCTATGTCCCGGCATTGCTTCTGAGGCATTGTAGTTGTGGAGATCCGTTCATGCTCGGTTTGGGCATATGGTTCCTGTACTCGATCCTTGGGTGGAGGTATGTCCAAGAGTGACGGCGTGGAGGAAATGCTCACTTGGGAGATGACTGCAGCGCCTTTGTGGGGCTTGCCGTTCTGATCTTGCTGTTCCCGGTTCCCGGACGCATGGCAAAGCTAATCCGAACAGTGCAAGCTGAAAAGATGAAGAAGGTAAGTCAGAATAGACGTTCGAGTTCGAACTGTCATAACTGAGGTCCGCAGACTGACGCCGGGTGCAAACTATGATCGAAGGTAAGTACTGCATATGATATTTCGTCGTAGCACAACACATCGCTCCTTCCATACAGTCATCAGTGTCATCCGCATGATAAAGCTCTTCGGCTGGGAATCCCGTGTGTCACAACAGATAGCTGAGAAACGTCATGACGAACTGGAGGCGGTGAAGAAATCTAGGATGTGGGAGCTAGCGAACAGCAACGTGAAGTGCGTGACTTACGCTTGCCGAGAATCGCATAGTCGCTGAATTCGCCCAGTCTCGTCATTCCACTGCTGACAATGATTGTAACATTCTCGACATATGTGGGTTCTATGATACAGTCCTCCGTCGATGTCCTGATAGCGATCACAGACGCTAATCATGAAGCACGAGCTGACTGGTTTGTGTTCCATCACAGTTGACGGACTTAAATATTTTGATTGTCTTTCTAGCATCTACCGTCTTCTCCTCGATCACAGGCAGGTTTTCTGCAGATGTCCCAGATGTAGGGTCCTACTGAGGTCTGCATCTTAGTGTTCGGCATGCTGGGGATGCACTTGCGTATGGCATTCAACATGATACCAGGCATCATGCAAGGCGAGTCTTCGTGGGTCCGTCTCATGCCACTCCGAGCTGATGGTGCGTACTGCAGCCAAAGTATCACTCGATCGCTTGGACAATTTCCTACGAAACGTGAGCTCAGTCTCCGTCGTTCATCTTCACAGAGTACTATACGCGAACATCGTAGACTGAGTTGCTCGACCAATTCTCTCAAAATCAGCGGAGCAACTCTCATCGTCCCAGCACCCTGAGAGTCGTGATACCATTGGGTTCCGCGATGCCACATTCACCTGGACTAACGATATAAGTGGTCCGGAGATTACGGGACTCGAAAGCGGCAGGCGACGTTTCTCTCTACACATAGATGGCGAAGTGTCCTTCGAACACGGATGCATCACCCTTATCGTTGGCCCCACCGGTTCCGGAAAGACGTCAATGTTGATGGCCCTTCTAGGTATGACCAAACCTTATCGTAGCATACGTAGACACCGATGGTATCTGACACAGGGGAGATGCACTATGTTCCGTCAGGTCCTAGTTCCTTCTACAACCTCCCTCGCGCTGGCGGGGTCGCATACGCAGCGCAAGAGTCGTGGGTGCAGAATGAGACGATAAAGGTTCGCCGCAAGTCAACCGCAAATACACATTGACAGCAAGTGTTCTTGTTTATGCAGGATAATATCTTATTTGGATCACCATACAGCGAGGAGCGTTACCAGAGAGGTGTGTGGCACCCTCATTGTCTCTTCTAAGTTCTCACACACCCATAGTCATCTACCAATGTGGCCTCGAGCGTGATATCGACTTATTCGAAGCCGGTGACATGACGGAAGTCGGAGAAAAGGGTATAACTCTCAGGTATGTTTCTGCGACTCTCATGGTGGAATACGCGGCCTCACTAAGTAACGAGCAGCGGAGGGCAAAAGGTAATGTCTTTCGTCGTGAGACCCAGTGTTCCTCATCAACAGTCCCACGTAGGCTAGAATAACGCTTGCTCGTGCCGTATACTCCTCTGCAGAGATTCTTCTGCTCGACGATGTAAGTTGTACCACCCAACATGCACAGTCGACTGGTAAGTGACACGTGGTTAGGTCCTTGCCGCACTCGATGTGCACACCTCGCAATGGATCATAAACAAATGTCTGCGCGGAGATTTAATGGAGAACCGAACTGTAATCATGGTAGTAAGTGCGAGCGCGCCTGACATAACGCTGCTGTTCACTTATAGTGACAGACCCACAACGTGGCCATTGCGAGTACAGTAGCTCAGTTCAAGGTCACTCTCGGGCCGGGTGGGCGCGTATCGAGCCAGGAACTCATCCAGGATATTCGCGGGCAGACTCAAGCACTAGGCATGGGACAAGACTCGCAAGAGCAAGGGTACAAGCAGGGAGGTGACCAAAGGCCCGAGGGTCTTGTGAAGTCATCGGGCAAACTCGTCATAGCCGAAGAAATCGCCGTAGGACGGGTTGGGTGGGGCGCCTGTGAGTTAATGTCGCTAGAGTTTTGGAGCGAAAGACTCAACAATTCTAACAGTGAAACTGTTTCTGGCAAGGATCGGAGGACAACACCAGATTTTCTTCTGGTCTTTCTGCCTGCTCACGTTGATAGCGTCAGAGCTACTTGCAAATCTTCAAGTGTGGTTCCTTGGCTACTGGGCACGGCAGTACGAGCAGCGACCCGCAAGCGAAGTAAAGGCCTCCTAGTAGGTCCGTGTGATAGATTGCGTGCCGGTTTGCTGATTGCTTTCATGGCAGCTACCTGGGGTTCTATGCTGGAATGATTGTCGTATCAGTTGCGTTCTACTGCATCTCCCTCACGTCATATTGGTTGGGGACCATCAGGGGTGGTCGCTCGATTCATGAATCCTTGATCTCGTCTGTACTCGGTACAACACTTAGGTAGCAAATTCGCCTATCTACGCATCATCATGCCTTATTTGCTCAACGGACTATATAGGTGGCTCGATCGAACTCCAGCCTCTCGCATCATTGCCCGTTGTACACAGGACATCCAATCAGGTGCGCCCCTCCAGCCATACTTGTCTTACTGTCACTCACGTTGCATCCGCGACAGTCGACGGGGAGATCTCCAAAACATGGGGCGTCATCATGGAGCTCAACATATCCATGCTCATCAAGGTCGTTGCCGTAGTTATCATGTCACCCATCTTCCTCGTCGTCGCTGTCGCGGTGGCCATCGCGGGCGGACTTGTTGGCCAGATTTACATGAAGGCTCAACTCACCGTCAAGCGCGAGATGAGTGTCGCGAAGGCACCTGTTCTCGGGCACTTCGGTGCTGCATTTGCGGGGCTGGGCGAGTATTGCCGTTTGGAATGATCAGCCATACGTGGGCGCTGAGCGCACACCTAGTGTCCATCAGGGCGTATGGTGCCCAGGATGCCTTCAAAGAGGTTTCTTATCAGCGGATTGACCGGTACACCCGGGCGGCACGAACGTTCTGGGATCTGACTCGGTGAGTGCCCTGTTCATCTGTAATAGATGATGACGAGCTAATGACATGCTAAGCTGGGTTGCCGTCCGGATCGAGATGCTCAGCGCGATCTTCGTCTCCAGCCTCGCAGCATACCTGCTCTACGCTCGCGGGACAACCGCGTCAGATACCGGGTTCTCTCTCAACATGGCAGGTGAGCGTTCCACTCGAATAATCGTTTGATGCACGTTCAAGCTAATCACTGCGACAAGTTGGATTCAGTGGCTACATTTTGTACTGGGTGCGGGTCTGGAACGACTTCGAGATTGCTGGTAGGCAACTGAATCACTGTCCTAAGCACTGGCTGATGTTGAATTGATTCTAGGCAACAGGTAGGTTTGAGTAGTGGTCTTGAATCGACGCTAGTAATATTTTGTAGTCTTGAGCGCATCAAGCAGTATGTGGAGATTGAGCAAGAGCCCAAACCGACGCAAGACGGCACCCCTCCCGCTTATTGGCCAGCGAGCGGCGATCTGAAAGTCGAGAAGTTGTCCGCAAGGTACTCGGAGGTACGTTACAGGCGGATGTGTCTTGTGTAAGGTCTTGACAGTTCCTAGGACGGCCCTCTTGTCCTGAAAGAGATCTCCTTCGAGCTCAAGTCTGGGGAACGAGTTGGCATCGGTGAGCTGCTTTCGCCATGCAGCACCGTGTAGAGATTGATATGTTCGCAGTCGGAAGGACTGGAAGTGGAAAGGTCTGCATGCCGTGCAGCTGGGCGCTCTGTCTTCAACATTGATTGCCTGTTAGAGAGTTCGCTCGCCTTGTCCCTGCTTCGGTGTATACTCAGTGAAGGCAAAGTGTACTTCGATGGCCTCGCCACGGATACCATCAATCTGGACGCGCTCAGATCAAGCATTACCATTATACCTCAGATGGTCAGCCTTCGTGTTTCGCATTCTTTTAGATAGATCACATAAACCTCTGCAGCCCGAGCTTCTGAGTGGGACCTTGCGGCGCAACCTAGATCCACTTGGGCAGCATGGCGATCCGCTGCTCAATGACGCTTTGCGTTCTGCCGGACTGTTCGCGTTGCAGGAAGGGTCGCGGGAGAATCATATTACGCTTGACACACAGATCGCGAGCGGCGGGGCCAATCTGTCCGTGGGCCAGAGACAGATTCTGGCCCTGGCGAGGGCGATCGTCCGTCAGAGCAAGCTGCTAATCTTGGATGAGGGTGCGCGGCCCCAGACTGTTTCGTGACCACATACTCACTGCTGACGCACGCAGCGACTTCTGCTATTGGTGCGTGCGTTATACTGTGCAATAAGGGCCGACTGAGAGCTGTGTCTAGATTACGCAACGGACGCGGTGATTCAGCAATCGCTCAGGAGGGTATTGGATAGCGGCGTGACAATCTCACTATAGCTCACCGTCTGCACACGGTCATGGACGCTGACAAAATTGTGAGCCCTTCGTTCTGTTTTTACCATACTTGTGTGACTCATGTACACGCTAGATGGTACTGGATGCAGGACGGATGGTAAGTAACGCCAAGATCTTGTTTCGGCGGCCTGCAAGACGTTTGATACCTCCACAGGCGGAATTTGGCAAGCCTTCCGAGTTGCTCAAGAATCACAAGGGTATGCTTCGGGCGCTGGTAGAGGAGAGCGGTGATGCGCGGGCGCTGTCGATATCGCAGGATTATAGCAATTTCACTGCAATTGTTAGGCTGTTGAAGCTCAAAACACTATGAGGGACAACTTGAAGTATCTTTGGCACAGTGACCGTGTCAGTCGTACTCACTCATTGGCGGATGGGCCCCTGAGGCGGCGCTTGAAATGTGTCTATTGTAAATGATCCCTGATCAATCACTGGGTAACAATCTGTAACAACTCACAGCCTCGGGATCAATTCGGCAATTACCGGTGGCTGTCCCATATGTTGCGAGCTTGGCCTGAGCTCGGCTGGGAATTCGAATCTCATCCGCATTGCTTTCATTTCAACCGTAACCTACCTCCACACCCCCTCTATGGCTCTACCACATGAGCTGTACTAGCCCACATCTATTGGAGACCGCTGGCCTCTTTCGGCGCCGCCGACACCCGGAAACCAACCGCTGTCAACGGGATCACCTCTCCATGCCTTCAATATACTCTAGACGGCTTCACGGGACGTGGTCTGCGCGACTGAAGGACGCCTCGTCATTCGTGATAGCACACCTGAACTTCTTCCGTATACACTTACTCGTTTGTACGTAACCACCCACTCTGGTCGTGTCTTGTCCCATCATTTCGAGTCAATGACCTATGCTGCCTGACCTCAGTTACTTGCTTCAGTCTGCTTCACTGCTGGTTCTGCTCGATCTCAATCAGACCAGCAAGATTGACAGAATATGCCTTGTGCGGAACATGTGTTCGGGTGCGGGATTTTAGCCATACGCCAGGGGTGACGGCGAGGCGTCTTGGAGGCGTGGAACGTGTGCCGCGTTTCTTCGTGCATTTGTCCGTGTCTGCACCTATACACGTACTGATGATGGCTGTCCAACAGTACGTTCACCCCTCTGATCTTCTCCGGAATCCTCTACGCCACCAATGGAGAGTACCATATCTCGTACATCGACTGTCTGTTCTGTTGCGTCACTTCCATGACAGTGTGCGGACTGGCCACGATCAACCTCAGTACCTTGACGCCGTTCCAGCAGTTCCTGCTCTTCGCCCAGATGTGTCTCGGAAGCCCTGTACGTGTGCTGCGTCGCATGAGATTCAAGTGTGCTTACATCCGTGCAGGTGACAGTCGCGTGGGTCATGGTCTACATCCGAAGGTACGAACAGCCAGGCTTCACCGTCTGCATACTCATCGCAGCACAGGAGCTACTTTGCCAACAAGTTCCAACACATCCTGAGGCCGAGATGGCTCGCAAAGCCTCTGCGAAGGCCCGGCGACCAGTTGGCGTGAAGATAGTGCCGTGGTGGCGACGCGTCCTAGAGCTGTTTACACCGACAAGTACACTGCTTCGAAGGACGTCGATCGCGCTTCTGACAGCTCGAGCGAGGATCATCGAGGATCAGCTCGGGTCCGAGTGGACATGATTCGCCGGATGGACGCCGCGCCGCAACTGGTCAACCCAAGCGGGTGGATCAGCGCAGGCCGCTCGGACTTTTTCACGTCTAACTCGGAGGCGCCTCAGAATCCGAGCTCGAAAACGCAACAGCGGAACGACGAGTACGAGATGCAGTCGCCCGGACGCTACCTGGCGTTTGCAGACATTGACAACCCTTCGTTGGTCGAGCATGCGATGCGGGTTGCTGAACCTGGCCAGCAAGCGCCGGCTGGTGAGGCGCCGGATTCTGCAGGCCTGAGCGACGCCAGATCTGTGCAGTCTGCCCAGTCAAATGGCAGAGACAAGTGAGTGGTTGAACGCATGGGCTCAGACACTTCCTGATTAGCATAGACCTCCGCGAATGTTCTCAGAACCGCCAGGTCGAATGTCCGACTCGCCAGAGCCAGGTAGGTCGAATGTTGACTTGGTCTCACAGCAATCGTGACGATTGTCCGCAGAAGTGAGCCCCTTGCCGCGGTCCGTGACGATCACGCTCGCCTCGCAGGGGAGGTCAGAGACGTTCTCCCGGACACAGACAATCGAATTCGCGAACTCTCCACGGCCTAACCGTGAAGTGCGCTCGAACCGCAGCGTTGCCCCGAGTGGCTGGGATGACTATGGGTCGTCCCGCGATCGACGTGAGTGCATAGCATCTCAGTGACGACTGATCATGAAACCGTGCTAGGTTCTATGCGGCGACCAACGCTGTCATATCCGCAATCCAACGCATCGTACCACAGCCGTCGGACGGAGCGCACGCACACCCTCCACAGTGGATTTGGAGGGTTCCCGATGCCGCACGAACTCTTCACCAGCCTTTTCCGGCGGCTCTTCCCGCAACTGGAGCAAAAAATGACACGCACGATGACCATGCCGCGCACACGTACGATTGTTTCACAGCAGTCGCTTGCCCCGAGCGGGCGCCCCGTGACCTATATCAGCTTCGATGCGGTCGTCGGGCGCAATTCGGAATTCAAGGAGTTGACGAATGAACAGCTGGAAGAGCTGGGCGGCGTTGAGTATCGCGCGCTGGGGCCTTGCTGTGGATCGTTGGCGGGGTGGGCGTGCATGCTTCTTGTCACGGTCTCTAGACTCATGCTTGCGCAGTATCATGTACTGATCCAGCTGCTGGCATGGGTATTATCGCGCCGTACATGTCGATGTCGCGGTGGCAAAACGACTTCCATCCACCTCAGCTCTACCGTGATGTCTCGCCTATCTGGTATGCCACCACATCTATTTGCGGATGGCATGGCTAACTAGTCCGCAGGTTCTCTGCATTTCAGGTCGTGTCGGCTTATACAAACACGGGGATGTCCTTGGAGGACGAGTCAATGGTGCCATTCCAGAAGGCGTATCTTATGATCTTCATCCTGATCTTCCTCATTTTGGCGGGCAATACTGCGTTTGTAAGTTTGATCTATCTCATGTCCACGTGCTATCATCGAACTGAGTCTTTTCTGAAGCCTGTATTGTGAGTTTGATGCTCTGCCAATCTGATGACAATAACTCACAGATTTATGCGCTGGCGTAAAGTCTACGGTTCGGCATGTATGTGACGCGATCCTGATCATCCATTCCCACGTAACTAATCCGCGGTCGCAGATGGGTGTTGTCCAAAGTAGTCCCCCAAGGTTCCCGCCTGAATGAGACGCTGCACTTTTTGCTCGATCACCCTAGACGGTGTTTCGTGTACTTGTTCCCGTCTCACCAGACGTGGTTCCTCTTCACGGTCTGCTCGCGCTAAAGTGAGCGATGCAACCACCCAGTGACACTGCTGCTGAGACGTGTTCGTACTAGTCTCACGGATTGGTTTTGCTTCCTGGTTCTTGATCTTGGCAATCCAACAATCACGTCGATACCTGTCGGCGTACGCGTCGTCATTGGGACGTTGCAAGCATTGGCGGTCAGGGCGGCAGGGTTTGCGACCGTGACCCTTGCGGATCTTGCCCCAGCTGTCAAGTCCGTCGATCTCTCTCATCTGCTCGTGTCGATGCTCATGTTGTCTGTAGGGTGCTGTACGTCATCATGATGTATGTCAGTGTATGTGAGTGCAGTGTTGCCATATATCTCCACGACAAAGGCTGACGGATGACCGATAGACCCGGTCGCTATGAGGTATTGCTTCCTTCAGATCCAGTTGTTGAGATGAGGCTAATGCGATGCAAAGTGTACGGTCCACGAATGTATACGAAGAGCGATCGTTGGGTGTTTCGAGGACGAGGACGAGGAGGAGTCTGCGGAAGACGATTTCAATCCTACCGGCAATCGTGTCACAGTCTGGAGCCGCTATCTCGCTATGCACATGCGGAAACAACTGTCGTTCGGTGAGTAATATACCTCATCCGCCATGAAATCGACTCAACAGGAGCCTGTAGATATGTGGTGGTTGGGATTAGCACTCGTGCTCGTCTGTATCATCGAAGTGAGTGCTCTCGTCTAGAATAGAAATCCCAATGACCAATGCTCTGCACAGAAAGATGGCCTTGAGGATGAATCGTCGGCCTCGTGGTTCAATATCTTCCGCTTGTGTACGTTTACCCTTGACACGGAGCTGCTCACTGTCTGACGTTTTATCAGTGTTCGAGGTCGTTTCTGCATACGGAACTGTTGGGCTGAGCCTCGGTGTTCCATATGTAGTATATTCATCCATGTGCGTGACATAGCAACTGAATCGCCCGCACCTAGGACAACTTTTCGTTCTCCGGCGCGTTGAGGACCTTGTCGAAGCTGATCATCTGCGCCGTCATGATTCGTGGACGACATCGTGGATTGCCGGTGGCCATCGACCGCGCCGTCATGCTACCGGCGGAGTTCTCGCATGCATCGACAGACCGTATCAACGAGATCGCTTCAAACAATGCGCGCCGTTCTTCGGTGACGTTCGACGCCATGAGCGCCGACGCGGACGAACGGAGCCAGCTCCGGAGATCGCACGTTCGCTCGCCTTCCACCATGAAATCAGGCGGCCCCGAGTCCGCTCAGTCTCAACCAAACCAGGAGATGTTGCAACAACCAGCAACAACAGCGGCAGCAGAAACAACAACAGCAGCAGCATGATAGTGCGGAGACCCAATGAACCCAAGTTCCCCACCCATACTATAGAATCCGCACCAGCAACGGACACCATAGACATATGCACTCACATTATTTCTTCCACACTCATACGCTCGCATTCTAACTTTATTCGTCGCATTGCTTTGTCAATTAGTATATCGCTTGTACAGTTAGCCTCTCTAGTACTACAGAACAGTCCTTCTAAAGTATACCACACACTATCCAAGCTCCGGGAGGGCGAAGGCAGTCTATTAGCCTCGCCTCGCTTCCACAATATAGAATCCTGGGCTACAAAATATCTTCAACTGCTACAAACGAGACGGGGGCACGCGGGTGCCGGGAATCGATCGACCAGGGTAATAAGTATTGCATGGGCAGTGTCCGGGCACAGAGAACATGAGGTTGGCTCGTGAGGGGTTTATGAGAGTTGGACGACGTCTTCGTACGCTGGCGGCGCTTCGCCGAGCTCGCTCTCCTGTCCAGCGACGAGCCGCTCAAACTGCGCGCCGCGCTGGAAGATGGAGTCCTGACGCGTGAGCGGTGGCGGCGGGCGAACGGGATGGAGTTCGGCGGGTGAGGGTGTCACGATGCGCTCGGCTACCCTCTGCCCTCCGGGCAGGGCATGAACGCGGTATTCGGGTAGAGTTCGCGATTGGCGGGAGAGTGGCTGTTTCTGGATGAGCGGACGTAGTTGCAGCAGGCGTGGTGACGCGGCTGGACTTCGATCGCGCCGGAATAGGGGGGCAGGGAGAGGTTATCGGCGTTGCACAGGCACTGCGGGACGGGTTAGCAGGTTAGAAGTTCCACGAAACGGGGCTGGAGGAGAAAAGCTCACCGAGAGTATGTGGATCGGCGTCTGCACGACGATGTCGAACAGCTTCCGCCTGCCGGTCTGGGATCGACCGCCTGGTCGTCGCCCCGCTCGACGCGGAAGATGACCTTGAGCATGTGGGTGACGAAGATGTTGCTCCGCCTATTGCGGTTGGTGAAGTGCAGCACGTTGCATGCCTCGGGCAGCTGCAGGTCCTTCTGGATCCGCCATGGCCCGGGACCCATGAGACTCGAAGCGTAGTCGCCGACGTCCTCGCCTGGCGGTACCAAGTCGGTGAAGGGGGACTGCATGAACGCTTGAGGGTCGGGGGAATCTAGCGGGAGGATGTGCGGACCATCCTTTTGTGGACTTTTCAGGGACATAAGGGGGATGCGGGTCAGTGGGTCTGTGCGCGCGATACGCTTGAAGTCGGTCCAGTAGTCTACACGCTCTGGTTGACAAGAGAGATCAGCCAACCGATGAGACTGGGGTACAGCAGAGAACTGCAAACCTTCTATGAGTACGGAGATTCTGTAGATCTTCATCTTCGTCCAAGGCATGAAGGTTAAGCTGATGGGCATAACCCCGCCAATGGGGAAGCTCCGCCCAGAGATGGTGATGAGGTACTGCATCTGTGTGTCCCACTGGCGTTCGACGATGATGCTCTCCGTCTCCTCGAGGTCATCTTCCGACGGACACGTAACGACCGTGATCTCCTGCGCCGCGGACATCTTCGTCGTGAACGTCCCCGGCCGGTGCGCATACGCCTTCAGCTTCCACGTCACGTGCCCGAGGTCGCAGTGCAGCGTCGGCGGCGAGCTCGCGGGGATCGCGAAAGAGATCGGCCATGTGTACGTGCCTTCACGACGGCAGGACCGCAGATTGACAAAGTTGAGCTTCGGGGGTAGACGAGCCGTAAGGAGCGATGCTCACCTTTTTTGAACTCCTTCCAGCCTTCTCCCCACTCTTTCCCATCCTCGCCGTCTAATCCCAGCACTTCGCTCACCCGTTCGAGGGTAGAGCGCTCGCGGTCCCTCGCAGGCGCGCCCTCCTCATCGTCGTGGAACACGTCTTCGAATGGACGCTCGCGCGTGCGCCCTCGAGGGGGCGTCGCGTCGCCTCCGTAGCCGTCCGGGAACGACGACCGCGAGCGTGAGCGCACACGGTCCATGACGACGTCCAGCAGCGCATTCGACACGTTCGCGAAGCTGAACCGCTTGTGCTTCCGTCCGCGCCCGTCATCCGCATGCTCCCGGAGGTCCGACGAGCCTTCGCGCTGATGGCGCTGATTGCGCTGGTCGGCCGAACGCGAGAGCGAACGCTGCGTGGCCGGCGCGGACGCAGGCGGGTGGGCAGAGGGCTATGGCTGCTCCCGACGAGGAACTCGGGGCGCTCGTCGTCGAGCGACGGGCGCGCAGATTGCGAGTGCGGGCTGCTGGTTAGGCGCAGGCTAGACGCGGAGGACCCGCCCATCCGGGCAAGAGGAGACGGGTGCCGCGCAGATGCGAGGCCTACGGTGTGGTCAGTACGCGTGTACCCGGGGACGAGTGAAAAGACCCACTGCTGCGTTCCGTGTCCGGTTCGGAGCTGCGACCCTGGCCGTACTCGTCCGCAGACGAGGCAGCCTCCTGGGTGGGTAGCTCGTCGACGGTGTTCATGCGATGCGAGACGGACGCGGCGGGAGTGAGGAGCGTCGGACTGAATGCATGCTGTGGAACGGTCTCTGCCGTCGGTGTGTAAGGGGGTGAAGCGGTCAATATAGGGGGGAGGCCGTTGTCGCGGTGCGCGACGTAATCACGCTGGAAATACGTCTGGTCGACGCTCATATTTCGCCTCGACGCGAATGCGTTGTTCACAAGTGCCGGTGGCGGACCTCGGTCACGGCCCCTCCGCTCATCACTGGGTGGCCGGTGAACCGTACCGTGCATATCTTCACTCGAGGATTCGGAGCGGTCGTCGTCATCACGGTCGAGCGCAATGCCAGGGCCCACGGAGAGCGTGCGGCGGCTGTTCCTGTACGGTGTCTCCGAGCCTGCGCGAAAGAGGATGTATGACTGTGCGTAGATCTCATGCTCCTCGGTGACTTCGACACGGCGCGCGCCCACTCCTTTCAATTAAAGCAAGAGCGGTGAGAAACTCCCGGAGAACGGCGGCAGTTTTGCGACATACCTTCAGGCCAGGCCGTGCTCGTCTTTCCCACCAGCTCGATTTCAATGCTGGAGATCTTCGTCGGCTTGACGAGCGTGAGCGTTAGCAGCCCACGAAGCATGCCAGGAGGGGCGTCGGCCTGCATGTTGCGGGGTCTGCCGGTGGCATCTCCTGCGCGGAGGAACACCACGGACTCTGCGAGACGGATGTCGAAGGCATTCTTCTGCGGCTGTTTCGTCGGCGCAGGCATGTATACCAGAGACCAAGAGGCAAGGAGACAAGAGGTGGTGGCCCGACGCGGCGGTTGGGCGGCGGACGTCCTAAAATATGGGACTGGAGTTCCGCTCCGAGTGCCTGTGCGGCCGATCAAGATCCGGCTAAGACGTCAGTCGCAGAAAATCACGAAAAAATCGACAGCGGTGCATGTGGACTCACCAACGTGTTACACTGTCGATTCGCGGCTACCGTCAAGCTACCGTCGCGACAAGGCAACGTTTCTGGTTACAGCCCGAACATGCGTGGTGAGAAATACGAGTCTAGACAGGGGCAAGTCACGGCCCGAGATCGTCACGGGATACTCACCGTTCCTCTCTGCCAGCGTTGGCGCAATATGTTGGCGCAAACATGCGCAGGAATGGTGAAAGACTGCACCGTTATCACCGCGTAGAAAACGGATGTAAGCCTTGATAGTCCGAACCAAGCAGTGCCAGGAGCAAGACGCGGTATCTGCAACCCTAACCTTACATTGACAGTGACGCGACTCCCGTCCTGCACGCTCACGATCGTCGTCGTGCGACGCTGCATCCCTGGCGCCGCCGTCCTCGCCAATGCATGCTGCCGTCCCGTCCTCGCTGCTGCGGCGCGTCCCTTGCCAGCACCGTCGCGTCTCGTCCGCTTGCTGCTGTTCTCCGACTCTCCTCTTCTCTGACCCTCCGCCGCGTCTCTCGCCCTCGCCGCGTCTCTCGCTCTCCCGCCCCTTCCGCTCGCACCTGCCACACCTGCTGTTGTCCTCGCTGCATCCGCCCGCCCGAGACGCGTCCGCCGGTACCCACAACGCACCGTTTCCGCTCGTTGCCAAGCACAGAGGTCCGTCTTCACCTTTTCTTCCCGGATCGCACGCATTCATCCACAACACTCATCTCTCCAGCTCTCTCCCCGACTTGCTTCCGCCTTCCCCCGCCCCGAACCCGCCCGCACTTCTCTACCTGCGCACCTCCGCGCGACACTCACGCATCGTGCCATCCTCTCTCCCCACTTGTTGGGCGCGACTTTGTGCACCGGATCGCTCGCTACACACCGTTCTCTGCAGCACCGCCAAACAAGCGCCCGTCAGCCTCCCCCGCACGCTCTACCGAGTCTACGTGCGACCCGCAGCCTTTCGGCGTCTCGCGCCAGCAACCACCAGCACCCAGCACCCATTCTTCGCCCGTGCACGTCGCCGCAATCATCCGCCATGCGTGCAACTCCACCCCGGGCCGCGGTACGCTCACTCATAACACCGTCCTGCCCGTGCAACGCACGAGACGACATTCATTCATCTGTGCGGTGGTACACGCGCCCGTACCGTCTTGCGGACTGCCGACGACGACCCACACTCCACGCTCTCATCACACGCGACAGCACCAGGCAACAACCATGCGACACCCATGACGGTCTCCCGCTCGCACGGGTAGGGAAGACGGCGCGTCAGCAACGCGTCAGCTGTCAAAATGTCGTGCGCGACGACGACGGCCCCCGTTCCTCTGCCCGCCTGCAGCTGCAGTGGCCGCAGTGGCCCGGCAATGCACTCCTCTTTCGACGTGCAGCCGGCGCGCCCAAATGCATCACAACCGTCCTGTGCGAGTCTACGTACGTACGTCTACTCCCCAACTACAAGACACGTGTGCTCACTGCTCCAGACCCGGCTGGATTCGCGCGCGTCGAGCGATCGTGCGGCGCGCCGTTCCTTCCCGCTCTCCACGATTCGCAGCCGTCGACGACGCTCGCAAGCCGCGAGTCTTCCTGACCCACGCGCCGACAAACGGCTCGCAAGGATGCTCTGCAGGTCACCCGTCGTCAGCACACTCCAGGACCGCCTGATCCGCAAGGAACAACTTACCTTCACCCATGACCGACACCGTGCACGACGTCCCGCACACGCAGCCCATCGCCAACGCACGCTCACTCGGCGAGCGCGTCTGCTGCGACAGGAAATTAGTACTCGCCCATTCGACTCGGTCGGACACGCAACTCACCGATGCCTCGTATCACCCGCAGCTCTCGGTCTTATACCTCGCACGATGACAGCGACCAAGTCGCCGCCGCCTTTCCGAGGCACGACGTCCGCGGAAGCGAGCACGGTGCCACTTGGCATGGATGGCCAGCCTCGTCCGTGCCACCGACGCCGACGTTCGGGCCCATGCTCGATGGCCCGCGCGTGTGGTACCTGCGCGTTGATCGGGCAGGGTCCGTGGACGTTCTTCGTTGACGGACGGATCCAGGAGGATGCTTTGCGGGGCGTACGCGACTGCCTCGTGTGTCGGGATGAGTTGGCTCGGGTTCGCCCGCCGCGCAGCCCGCAAGACGACGGCGCAAGGACGTGCCTGTCCGGCCTGCATCTCTTCGGCGAACGATACACGCAGTGCGCTGCGACGCATGCTACTCGGGGGAATGCGATCGGGACGGACTGCAGCGTCGTACGAGATGCTCGGGCATTCTTCCATTTGGCACGACAGCCTCTCGTCG